ACAAGACCCAAACCTAGGAGCAAGACCCAAACCTAGGAGCAAGACCCAAACCTAGGAGCAAGACCCAAACCTAGGAAGCAAGACCCAAACCTAGAAAGCAAGACTCCAAACCTAGGACAAGACCCAAACCTAGGAACAAGACCCAAACCTAGGAACAAGACCCAAACCTAGGAACAAGACCCAAACCTAGGAACAAGACCCAAACCTAGGAACAAGACCCAAACCTAGGAAGACAAGACCCAAACCTAGGAACAAGACCCAAACCTAGGAACAAGACCCAAACCTAGGAACAAGACTCAAACCTAGGAACAAGACCCAAACCTAGGAGCAAGACCCAAACCTAGGAGCAAGACCCAAACCTAGGAACAAGACCCAAACCTAGGAACAAGACCCAAACCTAGGAACAAGACCCAAACCTAGGAACAAGACCCAAACCTAGGAACAAGACCCAAACCTAGGAACAAGACCCAAACCTAGGCGCCGGGACATAGGGAAGGTTATTTATTTAGAAAACTCATTGGAGACATCTCGGCCCTTGGCCCCTTAAATATCAATTCAGATACTTGACGTGATTATAGCATGTCACTTAACTGTCCCCACCTTCCTCCACACACCAATGTATATATCATGCAAGCGTCCTTGAACGATCTATATATATTTATATGAATAAAAGATTAGTATTGAATACGACAACAGAAAATTATCAAGGCTAACTAGTACCCCACCTCAACTACCCACTGTCGCATCCCACCTCAACTACCCACTGTCGCATCCCACCTCTACGACCCAACTTCACAACTCGCCTCCATAACCCACTTCTACAGCCAACCTATACATTATTATTATTATTATTATTATTATTATTATTATTGTTATTAAAGATGCCAAGAAAGTTCAACGTCCCTAAAATTCCTACCAGTAAGTAAAGATTATCGTTATGATTAAATTTTCAATATTATTTTTTGAAAAATAAGGGAGATTTTGTCCCACCCTGACACCAGAGGAAAATCTGCTTCGGGAACAGAAATCTGACTGTAAATCAGGCAGGCGTCCACTGACGCAAGCACACACACACACACACACACACACACACACACACACACACAACACACACACACACACACACACACACACACACACAGTACCATGGCTATGTAATCGAGCCAAGAACAACCAGGCAGGAAACTCGTTTTTAGCTACTTAAGAATCCTGCTCTTGTGTGGTACGGCTCAGCCTCCCTGACTGCCACCCAGACTCACATTCTCTCAAACATGGGGTGAGGTTTGTATTCTTTTTTTTCTATTCGCCGATATTCTCCTGGCCCGGGTCTTTTCCAATAGTGGTGACCCGGCCTTGGGCCCCCTATCTGGGGAGTGTCTCGAGACCTAAGTCCCCCATGGGAGGAGGTACAAGTACCCCTTCATCTTTGGGGCCAACTGCCCCCAGGTCTAGCCACATTCCCCGCCCTGGAGGGGCTCGCAGGGAGAAGCTAGGCCTCTGGTCTGCCATCTGCCCCGCCCCACAAAGAGGCTCGTGGGGATGGCAGTCTTGTGAGCTGCAGATGGTAGTAAACTCAGGCCATTTTTTTGCATCTTTCCAACAACAACAACAATAATAATAATAATAATAATAATAATAATAATAATAATAATAATAATAATAATAATAATAATAATTTCATGGAATCTTTATGTTTAACACAATTTCTCTGTCTATTTTTAACACCTTCTCTCGTCTATTTCCTCTTCTCCCCCTTTCCTTCCTCTCTTCTCTCCTTAACTCTCTTTTCCTCCCTATCTCTCTATACAACAGAACAGTATAAACATTTATCATTCATCTCTCGTTCTCTCTTCTTTCCATATCCCTTTTTACCCCTTCTCTCTTCCTCTCTTCATTTATCTTTCTTCTTTCTCTACCATCCTCTCGTCTTTTTTCACCTCTCTCCATCTGATCTCATTTCCTTTAATTTTTACATTCCCTTCTTTATCATATTCCTTGCTTTATCCTCGTTTCTCTTCTTGTGTCTTCTCCATGACTCTGTTTAAAAGCTGACCCTCGTACACAGAGCTGTGACGTCACTATGTAAACACAGTGAAGAAACTGGACTATAATATACGAAGAATGTGTTGTGTGTGCAGCTGTTTGTAATGACTCGGAACAACACGTGAATGTTTAGAAAGCATGTGTGTGTGTACTCACCTAGTTGAGGTTGCGGGGGTCGAGTCCGTGTGTGTGTGTGTGTGTGTGTGTGTGTGTGTGTGTGTGTGTGTGTGTGTGTGTGTGTGTGTGTGTGTGTGTGTGTCTGTGTGTGGTGTGTTTGAGAGAGAAAGAGAGAGATTGTAAACAAAGTTAGAAACCCTTAATCTTTGTAAAACCTTGTGTAAAGAGAGAGAGAGAGAGAGAGAGAGAGAGAGAGAGAGAGAGAGAGAGAGAGAGAGAGAGAGAGAGAGAGAGAGAGAGAGAGAGAGAGAAAGAGAAAGAGAGAGACAGAAGGATGGAGGGTGGAACTACTATGGCATATGTAAGAGTGCTTGATGCCAAGGATTTTAAGGAGTGGCCCCCCAACGCTGGCACTCCTCTTCTCCCCTCTCCACCACCCTTCCTCTACTCATCACTACTACATTCTCCTATGATCCCAAGACTTCGTCTTCCTGTTGACCTTCTCCCTACTGAAGACGGCTTCAGGTGTATGCTGAGATATTTACATTCTCCCTCGGTAAAGCATGCAGACACATACCGTACTTGTCTCATTTTCTGTATTTTTGTGTATGTATGAGAGAGAGAGAGAGAGAGAGAGAGAGAGAGGAGAGAGAGAGAGAGAGAGAGAGAGCAGACAGACAGACAGACAGACAGACAGAGAGAGTGTGTGTGTGTGTGTGTGTGTGTGTGTGTGTGTGTGTATTGTATGTACTCACCTATTTGTGGCTGCAGGGGTCGATTCATAGCTCCTCTGTATGTGTGTGTGTGTGTGTGTGTGTGTGTGTGTGTGTGTGTGTGTCTTACATTACAACATTAGATCCAAACAGAGCGACAGTTGTTACTCTTCACGCTCCGGCTACCTCAGGGTAACCCAAGATTCCGAGTGCTTTCAGCGTGACGGAGAGATACTTGCTGGTCCACATTTCCCTCTGATCGGTCTATGTGCATGTGTGTTTTTCATATTGCAAGTTTATCGATAAATATTTTAGCTAAAAATGACACATGTACAACGTTTCGCTCTCCAGGAACTTTGTCAATCCATTGTCGCATTAACTGCACTTGTGTCCTTTTACCTAACATACTGTCAGTAATTCTACCAACATTATTATAGTCAATAAATACTTTGGAAGACACATAGATGGCTTGAAACAGTTATATCATACTGCTCTCAATTTTTTTTTGCGTGGACATTGGTCAAAACGAATCTTACTCCAATTGGTCAAAACGTGCGATTCGTGGTATCATGTTGAGAAGATGACTTAAGAAATCGTAATGACACGATTGCAAATAAACCATACCCCCGGCCGGGATTGAACCCGCGGTCATAGAGTCTCAAAACTCCAGCCCGGCTAGCTGGTCTAGTGGCTAACGCGACGGGCTGGAGTTTTGAGACTCTATGACCGCGGGTTCAATCCCGGCCGGGGGTATGGTTTATGTTGAGAAGATGTTGCATCTACCAGATACAACATACCTCATATTATGTCTTATTAACATATCTGCCGGTATATAATGCCATAGATGTATATACTTCTATTGTGTCAGTCCACTGAGTTGTCTTACGACTGTTCCCTCGTCAGAAATTTTCTCGATTCGCCTGAGTAGCAAAATTCCATCTATGAAGGAGGGACACCTCTCGAGATGGGAAATTTGACATCAATCATGTCTAAATACCAAACTTGTATTGTGTCCACCAAAGCAAAAATCATGCTTAGGAGAGGAACTTCATGACGACGCTGGGTCCTCTGGGTCCTCTGGGTCCTCTGCTAAGTACGGGTTTGGGGAGAAATTGTTCCAGCCACGGTACAGGTGTCCAGTAGCTGGTTCGATCCCTCGGTACGGCTGAAACACATTAAGACGTGTTTCCACAAGACACCTGCTGTCCCTGTTCACCCATCAGTAAAATGAGTACCAGGATGTTAGTCGACTGGTGTGGGTCGCATCCTGGGACAAAAGTGAAATAATTTGGGGGAATTGCTCAGCATAACAAGGAGCTTTCTATATAGCAGTGTCATTGATGTCAGCTATGGTCTGTATACCTTGTACATGTACTTGTAGAAATAAAGATATTATTATTATTATTATTATTATTATTATTATTATTATTATTATTATTACTGTAGCTTACTCTGTGTGTGTTATCGCCGCTCTGTCTAAATGGCCTTTTATGGTAAGTTCGTCAGCGTTCTTCCTCTGACTTCGATTTCCTGCGGGATGAATTATCCGGATATGTTCTTCGTTACTCAGAGTCATCAAAGGCATCTGCATAAACGGGAGAAACATGATCCACTAGCGGGACACCCTGTTATATTTTTGTCTATGGGATTAACCCCGTTTTATGATTTTATCTTAGCATAGCTCTGTTTTACGTTTCCTGTTAGTCTAATCCCCCATTGTTATCTGTTATCCTTTGGTCTAGTCCTGTTGTATGTTATCTGTTGGTATAGCTTTATTGTCTTGGTGTTATCTGTTGATCTAACCCTTTTGTATGTTATCTGATGGTCTAGTCATGTTGCCTTATGTAATCTTTTGGTCTAAATCTGTTGTATGATGTTATGCATTGGCTTTGCCTGTTATGTGATGTGTTAACCTAATCCTGTTATGTGATGCGATCTTTCGTATGGTTTAGTTATGTTATTTGTTGATCTGTCCCTCTTGCTTGAAGTAATCTATTGTTAGTGTCTAAGTGGATTGTTTCATTAATAACCAAGTAGTTAAATGTAACAATAAGTAATTTATTGTGTCCATGTTATCTCAGTTATTTTGTTATATGTAATTTATCTAATCTTTCTGTTTCTCCACAGGACTGAAAATACTGTTATTGCCGAGGACCGCGTAGAGAAGTCATCAGGAGAATGGCTCGTTGGAGCTGGTTATTTGTCGTCCTGGGCATGACTTTTGTCCAGTTGTCGTCTGAACAGTCAGTAAAAAGAAATAAAGGCGGTGTTTCAATACGACTGCCTCAGTGCTGCCCGAGTCAGCATGCCATATCCACGAGGAACGCGACTTGCGCCTACAACCCAGATTCTTCCTTCCAGCCGCCTATTCTCTTCAAGGGATCCATGATGCTAGCTTCGAACATAGTGGAGGAGGTGAAAGGAATTACTCTAGCCTGTGAGAACGAGAACAGTGGCACTCGTCTCATAGCCCTCAGTTTAGATGGCGAACATGGTACCCTAATATTATTACCTGATGGTACTGTTAACGTCATGTGGTTTCCCCCTGAGGGATTGATCTACGAGCGACTCCAGGATTTCTGCGTTTTGCAGGTACTCGATGACGAATCGGATGACCCACCTATGTACTGGGCCAAAGCTTGCCTTCAGGACCATGCTTTGCAGTGGCAAGCTGACCGGCTAGCCTGCAGTAACGCCTCGTGCCTTCGTAAGTGCTGTCCAGCTGGCGAGCACCTCAAAAACAAGGGACTTTGCATGCCTGACGATAAAACTAAAGACTGGAGCCTAGCGCCACAGTTCCCAGACTTGCATGTTGTGTATGGCTTGCCCACGTGTGAGAAAATTCTGATATACGATGACCACAGCCTCACAGAAACGGGGAACTTGCTCGCCTCAGAGGAGCTCCTCTCGCCTCAACACTACTGCATAGATAACAACGAGGATACCAAGAGCGACCAGGTCTACGAACTCGCTCTGGTGTGCTTCGAGGGGTCGGCCGACTCCGAGTGCCAGTGGAAATACGGAGTGCTGGTTCCAGTCTTGATGGGAATCTCCTGTGCCTGCTTGACTGCCACCTGGGTTATTTACCTGCTGGTGCCACGACTCAAGAGCTGCAACACAGGAAGGTGCCTATTGTCCTTCGTCAGCGCCACTTTCTTCGCCTTTCTAACCATCACGATCAACAAAGCGGGCCGTGAAAATTTCACCGAGCTGCAGTGCTCATTAATAGGTATGACCCCACATGAGTTTAGCGCTTTACAAAGCACTACCTTCCTCAACAGACTAGTGGCACATGCCTGTATAACTCATGCGGGTTTAGAGTATTTTTTAAATAAATTATTGATAAAGTTAAGACTTCAGTGATGTTTCCCCATAAAGGGTTTTTGATCCAAGGAATTGTAGCTACCCTCCCCTTCCCTGGATCAAACCTGATTGCTGCCCATTACTCAGGAGCTGTATGACCCTAAAAGTGTAACGCTTCCAAGAATATAGTAATAATAATAATAATAATAATAATAATAATAATAATAATAATAATAATAAATAATAATAATAAATAGCGGAAGCAATAATTCCCAGTATTTAGCAATTAATATAATCCTCCATACCTAGCATTTGCCAGTAATTCCCAGCTACTAGCAGTCATAATTCCCAGCAGTTGTTGAAAATTCCTAGCACCTAGCAATTAAAATTTTCTAGCTCCTAGCAGTTGATAATTCCCAGCTCCTAGCAATTAAAAATTTCTAGCTCCTAGCAGTTAATAATTCCCAGCTCCTAGCAATTAAAAATTTCTAGCTTCTAGCAGTTAACAATTCCCAGCTCCTAGCAATTAAAATTTTCTAGCTCCTAGCAGTTGATAATTCCCAGCTCCTAGCAATTAAAAATTTCTATCACCTAGCAGTAGTTAATAAGTCCCAGCTCCTAGAAGTTAATAATACTCAATTCCTAGCAATAGTTAATAATTCCCGTCTTGTAGCAGTAGACAGCAATTCCAGAGTTGTCTGAAAAACGAATCCGCCACATATATTCCTCTTTCTACATTCATTTATTCTCATTTGCTCGTTATTCTTATTTACTCCTTTCTATTTGCTAATTCTGCCCATTTATTCATTCTAGCCACGCTGTGTCATGCTAGTATCCTAGCTATGTTTTTCTGGCTCAACGTCATGAGTTTCCACATCTACTTCCAGCTAAGGTGAGTACAACAGAGTAATAATAATATAATGATAATAATAATAATAATAATAATAATAATAATAATAATAGTAATAATAATTTTTGCAAGTACGTGATACAACTTATACAGACCATAGCTGACAACACTGACATACTATATAGAAAGCCCCTTGTTATGCAGAGCATTTCGGGCAAATTAGGTTAATGTTGTCCCCCAGGATGCGACTCACACCAGTCAGCTAACACACATATATCTACTTGCTGCTAGGTGAACAGGGACAGCAGGTGTCTTAAGGAAACACTCCCAGTGTTTCCACCTGTACCGGCGATCGATACACGGACACACAGTGTATGAAACGAGTGCACTACCAACTGATCTACTGGACACCCTCAGGGAGGGCTATAATGTAGATGTTAGATCAGAGTTATCGTAACCTGATGGCTAATCATTGTATCTTGGATACACCATCATAGTATGTATTATTATATTGGAATACAGTCAGACCCCCACTTTACAGCGCTTCGTTTTACAGCAGTTTGCAAGTAAAGTGAATACTCTATATGCAATTTTTTAGGCCTAGCTATATTGCTCACTTAATATATGATCGTGTAAACATATTATCTGGCTTTTATGTGCATTTGAAAGTGAAAAAAGGGCAATGTTTCACTTTACAGCAATTCTCGCTTTACAACAGTAGCCTGGAACCTAACATGCTGTATAAGCGGGGCCCTAGAGTAGCCTGGAACCTAACATGCTGTATAAGCGGGGCCCTCCTGTATACCAGTTTGAATATGTGCTGATGAGTATATCTTGTTAAATTAGACACATGTGCAACTCTTGGGTATCTTTATTGAGGAAACGTTTCGCCACACAGTGGCTTCATCAGTCCACAATACATGTGGAGGAATATGTCAGCGTACATTTGGGATTCAAGTAATTTCGATTGGTGGTGAAAAGGTGCAATCTTAATGACCCTCGTGTGTCAGGACGCTTTAAACCCAATTAACCAGGGTAACTGAATCTATCTGGGGTAGGCCAGAGGATGCTTACTCAACTCTCACATTGAGGTCCGTGGTTCGATCCCCGATATGGGTAGAATCACTGTGGCGTGTTTCTTTAATATACCTGTTGTCCCTGTTTACCTAGCAGTAAGTAGGTACCTGGGTGCATAGGCGACTGGTCTGGGGTCACATCCTACGAACAAAATGAACCTAATTTGCCCGAAATGCTCTGCTTAACAAGGGGCTTTCTATATAGTATGTCACTGATGTGAGCTATGGTCTGTATAAGTTGTATCCTGTACTTGTAGAAATAAAGATTATTATTATTATTATTATTATTATTATTATTATTATTTTACTGGCTGAACGAGATATTATCTATTACTGCCCGTGTCAGGAGAGACTATTGTTTTATGACAGACAAAACAGTAGGAATACTGACAGACGAAACACTTGTAAAACATTTCGAAATGTTTGTTTGTAGACGTTTCGCCAGTCATTGACTTTATCAATACAAGGACATAATGAAGAAATATTCACAAAAGATGAGGTAATCAGTCCCTCAGTCAAGGCTGAGGGTCTGATATATATATATATATATATTATATATATATATATTATATATATATATATATTATATATATATTATATATATATATATATATATAACCTTCACCATTTTTTTTTTTGTGCTGAATGACCCACAGGGGTTTAGCGCTACACAAGATTTAAAAAAAAATGGCCCTAAGTATGCAGCAGCAGACAAGCGTAAGCTTGTCAAAAAGTTTTTTTTTTTTTTTTTTTTTTTTTTTTTTTTTTTTTTTTAGCGGGGAGGGGATTTGGAGTGCAACAGTTGTGAAGGGATTTAGAGAAACCGGTTAACAGGACTTGAATCCTGGAGGTGATTTACAGTGCCTCTAAATGAAGGGATGGGATGCTAAAGATAGGATGGTCATATGAATTAAGATATATATATATTTATATATATATATATATATATATATATATATATTCCTTGCCGTCAGGTCACCACATAAAGGGTATCGCGAGGGCGTACGAGTGTTCCTGGTATACAGCCTCTACGCCTGGGGTAGCGCTATTCTCATCACTCTCGTTGGTGTCACGCTGGATGCCCTGCAAGCTGATGTTATACGCCCACACTTCCACCTCCCCAACTGCTGGTTCCTCGGTAAGGAGAGTTTAGTGTGATACAACACTCCACTCTTATCGTTGTAATGTGTTTATAAATTATTTAAGCTATGGGATGTAAATAGTGCGCTAAAAATATCTAGCCTAGACAGGATTCGCAGCAATGGCTTTAAGTTGGAAAAATTCAGATTCATGAAGGATATAGGAAAGCATTAGTTTGGTAACAGAGTTGTGAATGAGTGGAACAAAATCCCGAGTACTGTTATGGAGGCTAAAACGTTGTGTAGTTTTAAAAATAGGTTAGATAAATACGTGAGTGGGTGTAGGGGGGTGTGAGTTGGACCTGACTAGCTTGTGCTACTAGGTCAGATGCCGTGCTCCTTCTTGAAGTGAATGTGACCTGACATAACTAGGTTGGGGCATTAGCTTAAGCCGGTAGGAGACTTGGACCAGCCTCGCATAAGAACATAAGAACATAAGAACGAAGGAACACTGCAGAAGGCCTACTGGCCCATGCGAGGCAGGTCCAAGTCTCCTGCACCCAACCTAGTCAGGTCAGGTCACATTGACTTAAGGGAGGAACACGGCAACCGACCTGGTAGCACAAGCTATCAGGTCTAACTCACACCCACCCACATCTACTCATGTATTTATCCAACCTATTTTTAAAGCTACACAACGTTCTGGCCTCTATAACGGTACTTGGGAGTTTGCTCCACTCATCCACAACTCTATTACCAAACCAGTACTTTCCTATATCCTTCCTGAATCTGAATTTTTCCAACTTAAAACCATTGCTGCGAGTCCTGTCTAGGCTAGATATTTTCAGCACACTATTTACATCCCCTTTATTTATTCCTGTCTTCCATTTATACACCTCAATCATATCCCCCTAATTCTACGTCTTTCTAGAGAGTGCAGTTTCAGGGCCCTTAGTCTATCCTCATAGGGAAGGTTTCTGATACATGGGATCAACTTTGTCATCCTCCTTTGTACATTTTCCAGAGAATTTATATCCATTCTGTAATACGGTGACCAAAACTGTGCAGCATAATCTAAATGAGGCCTAACCAAGGATGTGTAGAGTTGAAGAACAACCTGAGGACTCCTGTTATTTATGCTTCTTGATATGAAGCCAAGGATTCTATTAGCTTTATTGGGAACACTTATGCACTGTTGTCTTGGTTTCAGATTACTGCTAACCAGAACTCCTAAATCTTTTTCGCAATCCGTAATATTAAGATCTACATTATTTAGTTTATATGTGGCATGGTTATTGTCCTGTCCAACATTTAGAACTTTGCATTTGTCTATATTAAACTGCATCTGCCACTTCTCCGACCACTGCATCAGTCTATTCAAATCTTCCTGGAGTGCTCGAATGTCCTCGTCAGAATGAATTCGACGGCCTATTTTGGTGTTATCGGCAAACTTGCCGATGTCGCTCTTTATGCCCTCATCTATGTCGTTTATGTAGATTGTGAACAGCAGGGGGCCCAACACTGACCCCTGTGGAACACCGCTCGTGACGCTTCCCCACTCTGATTTCTCCCCATTTATGCAAACTCTCTGCTGCCTATTTGTCAACCATGCCTCTATCCAGGAAAAAATTTCTCCTCCTATTCCATGTGCTTTAATTTTCCTCAATAGTCTCTGATGTGGGACCCTGTCAAAAGCCTTACTGAAGTCCATATACACAATATCATATTCATTACCATGATCTACCTCCTCAAATACCTTAGTGAAAAAAGTTAATAAATTCGTAAGGCAGGAACGCATGGGCCAGTAAACCTGCTGCAGTGTTCCTTCTTTCATATGTTCTCATGTTATTGCTTACTTTTAAAAACATCAACCCACCTGTGATGATTCTCAGTAGTGGAAAAAAATAAGGCACTGCTGGAGAAACTGTATGGGAACATTTCGCCAGTAAACAACCCTCTTCAGTCACTGAGTAAAGAAGTGTGTCGACAGGGTAAGCGTCTCATTTAATTCCTCTCCGCCATTGTGTCTTCTTGCCACTAGACAGCCTGGCGCCCTTAGTTTCTCTGAAATTTTTGTGAAGTAGGATATGGCTGAGTCATGTGTGGCTGACGAGTTAACTGACATAAAAAGCTTTCACATTGACGTCTCTATTTTCTAAAGCTCTATGAAGAGAAAAGCTTTCTTTTAATGATTAAAATTTTCCTCAATCTATATCTTAGAATTTATTCTCGCCAGTACGACATTTCGATACATTGAATATAATTAAAAACTCGAGTTTCTGTCTAATGTGGGTTATTGATCACTGACAAGTGTTTATTATACTTTACTTATCCATAAATGTTTTAAATTAGATCTTCGATGTGGCACCATAAACCATACCCCCGGCCGGGATTGAACCCGCGGTCATAGAGCCTCAAAACTCCAGCCCGTCGCGTTAGCCACTAGACCAGCTAGCCACAATAAGATTCATCCAACTAGGTATATTTCTACACCATAGGAAAGTTAGCACAGGCACCTCTGTGACCACAAATGCAAGTTTTTACAGACGAATCTCCAGCTAGCGTGGCCGTGACGAACTCTAGCTCAAGTCCCTTCACTGCCGTCAACACGACTCAAGAAATCGTAATGACACGATTGCAAATAAACCATACCCCCGGGTTCAATCCCGGCCGGGGGTATGGTTTATTTGCAATCGTGTCATTACGATTTCTTGAGTCATGTGGCACCATGTAGGAGCTTTACTTATTAAAGCTCTACATAGAACGAAATATTTTTTCAGACTATGGAACAATGCTCTTCTCCAGACTGAGGGACTGACCACCTCAAAACTTTAAGGGTGATGGACTGATTACATCGTCTTCAAGTCTCTTCTGCTTCTATCAACTTTTCTGTACTCGACTGAAGAAGCCTACTGTGTAGGCGAAACGTTTCGAAATAAAGATACCTAACTGTTGCATATGTGTCTTACCTAACAACCAGGCTGTTACTGCTGGCCGCACGTGTGTAACCTTACTATCTTCAACGTTCTACGCCATGTGAATTCAATGCAAACACGTGTTTCAGATGTGACTTCCCGCTGGGTGTACCAGTACGGCATCATCCTGGTGCTCATCTTAGTAAACATGGTATTCTTCATCTGCTCAGTGATGCTGCTGAAGCGCAACGACAGATACAGAGTCGAGAGTGGACACAACCAGACCATAAGGTGAGTCGTGTTTAATTTTTGTAGCGTATTCGTGATTAGTTGATCTGTGATTTCGATTCTACAGGCCACGAATCTTTTGGCCAGAAAACTGACAATGAAGAAAAATGTATAATAATAATAATAATAATAATAATAATTATTATTATTATTATTACTAAATTACTAACAAATATCCATTGTTGTCTAGTGCCTGGGTATACCTTAAACTCTTCATTATTACGGGAGTGCTGTGGATTACTGAGATCGTGTCTTGGAAGATTGGCAACCAGTGTAACATCGCGTAAGTAACGCTGTAACGTTTCGTAATTGTAACATTGTTTAAGTAACGCTGTAAGAGTGTGCATGTAACGTAAGCAAGCGGAATTCCTTCTAGAGAGGAGGTAGGAGAGGTAGTGATGAGAAGTATAGTTAGGCTAGGTTAGGTTAGGTAAAGTAAGGTAAGTCAGCTTCCCAGCTGACTCTGACATATTTCATTACCACATGTATTAGACCCAGCTTGTGGGATGGAATAACAGGAATCCCTTCCTGTGGGACGGAGTATAACTGGAAACCCATCCTGTGTGAGAGAGTATAGAGGGTAAACCCATCCTGTGTGAGAGAGTATAGAGGGGAAACCCATCCTGTGTGAGAGAGTATAGAGGGGAAACCCATCCTGTGTGAGAGAGTATAGAGGGGAAACCCATCCTGTGTGAGAGAGTATAGAGGGTAAACCCATCCTGTGTGAGAGAGTATAGAGGGGAAACCCATCCTGTGTGAGAGAGTATAGAGGGGAAACCCATCCTGTGTGAGAGAGTATAGAGGGGAAACCCATCCTGTGTGAGAGAGTATAGAGGGGAAACCCATCCTGTGTGAGAGTATAGAGGGGAAACCCATCCTGTGTGAGAGAGTATAGAGGGGAAACCCATCCTGTGTGAGAGAGTATAGAGGGGAAACCCATCCTGTGTGAGAGAGAAGGGGGGAAAACCCCATCCTGTTGAGAGAGTATAGGGGGAAACCCATCCGTGTGAAATATAAGGGGAAACCCATCCTGGGGATAATAAGGAAACCACCCTGGTTAAGAGATTTTTTGGGAGGGGGCCCCCCGGGTTTTTTAAAAAGTTAGGGGAAACCACTGTGTGGGGAAAATTTTAAAAAAAAAAATTTTTCCCTTTCCTTTTTTTTTTAAATATAAAACACCGTTTTTAAAGTAAAGGAAACCCAAACCAAGAGAGTAAAAGGGGAAACCCATCCGGTTTGAAAAGTTGGGAAGAAACCCATCCGTGTAATTAAGAGGGAACCCATCCTGTTTAAAAGTGTAGAAAACCACCCCTTTTTTGAAATTTAAAGGAAACCCATCCGTTAAAAAAGGGGGGGAACCCATCCTGAGGGTTTATTAAAGGGAACCCACCCCCGTTAAAAAAGGGGAAAGACACCATCCTGAAAAAGTTAGGCGGCCCCACCTGAGGATAAAAGGGGAAAACCCATCCAGTGAAAACAAGGGGAACCCATCCTGTTTTAGAAATGGGGGAAACCCATCCGTTAAAAAGGGGAACCCACCATTAGGATATAAAAGGGAAACCCATCCGTGTAAAAAATGAGGGATACCCTCCTTTGGGGAAAGGGAAAGATTTATAAAAGGGAAAACCCATCCGTGTAAAAAGGTTTGGGAAGAAAACCCGTTTCTTAAAGTTAGGGGAAACCATCCAGTGTAAAAAGGGGGAAAACCCACCTGTGTAATAAAGGGGAACCCACAAGAGAAAAAGGGGAAACCTATTCCTTTAAATTTAAAGGGGAACCACATCCTTTAAAAGGGAAAGGGGAAACCCAAAATCCGTGTAAATTAAAGGTGGAAACCCATCCAGTTTTAAAGGGTTTAGAAGACCCACCTGGGTCCCTATAATTGGGAAAAAAATTTTCCCACCACTTGGGGACACCCCCCACAGATGCATAAAAATGGGAAATCTTATTCCCTTGTCGCCCAACCCCCAATGTTTTAAAAAAACAGACCCCATTGAGTTTAAAAACAACGTGTGGCGAAACCCCCTTGTCAATAAAGGGGAAAGAAAACACTCCCATTCCTTCTCCTTACAGCCAAATATTCACTATCACCGTGTAAAAAAAATGTCACATCAAAAGTGAAGGCAGCCACACCACTGCCATGTCACTATCCACATTTAGGCAGCCACCCCTGCATGTCACTATCACACAGTTGGGGCACCACACCCCTGCCAGGTAAACTTCACACAGTGTAGGACACCACACCACCCCCATGTATTTCACACAGTGTGGGACAGCCACACACACTGCCAGTTCACATCAAAAGTGAGCACCACACACACTGCCATTTAATCACACAGTGTGGGAACCCACACACACGCCAGTTCACACCAACAGTGTGGGGGCAGCCACACCAGCCAGTGACTTCAAAACTGGGGGCAGCCACCCACACTGCCAGGTCACTATCACCAGTGTGGGGCAGCCACACACACTGTTTTCCCACACGTTAGGCCCCCCAATGCCAGTGCACTTCTCCCCGGGTTTTGGGCAGCCACACCACTGCCATGCCACACACATGTGGGAAGCCACCCACACTCCCATGTCACTATCACACGTGTGGGACACCACACACACTGCCAGTGTCACTATCACACAGTGTGGGGACACCACACACACTGCCAGTGTCCTTCCACATGGGGGACAGCCACCACTTTTGCCATGTCACACACACAGTGAGGACAGCCACACACCTGCCATTCACACAACGTGTAAAAACCCAACACACTGCCAGTGTACTATCCACATTAGGCGCCACCACACGCCATGTCACATCACACGGTAGGACGCCACCACATGCCAGTGCACACACACAGGTAGGACAGCCACCACACTGCCATGTCTTACACATGTAGGCAGCCACACACACTCCCATGTAACCACTCGAATAAAAATCATTTATCTTACGATCATCACCGACATATTAACAGTCTCAAGGAGTGTATATTTTTCTCGTGGCAGTTTGCTTTAAAGGAAAGACTAAGGTAAGTGAACACTGGCTAAATATTTAAAATGTTTCGTACATATAAAAAATATAATATAATATTTTATATAATATTTTATTTTATATATATAAATATAATAAAAAATATATATATATTAATAATTTTAAAAATAAAATATAATACAAAATATTTAAATTAAATCTTTTTTAAAAAAATTTTTTCCTTAAACAAAAATTTTTTTATTTTTTTTTTCTTAAAAAAAAAAATTTTCCAAAAAAAATTAAAAATTTTTTTTTTTAAAAAAAAAATTTAATTTGTAACCAAAATAAAATTAAATAATTTATAAAAAATAATTTAAAAAAAAAAACCAATAAATATATTTTTAAATTTTTCAGAAGATTTTTTTCAAAACAAACCCAAAATTTTTTTCCTATTCGAAGATTTTCGAAATGGAAAAACACAAATTGGCATTCCGCCCCCCTTTAAAACCCCGCAGTTTTAGTTTCGGCAAACCTAGAGTAATAGAATTTGGTTTAAATTGGAAATTAATGTTTTTTTAATTCTGATTCAATAAAATTTTGTGTTTTTAAAAATATGTTTTTTTAAATATGTTAAAAAAGTTTTTTTAATACCCTATACTCTTTTAAGTGACCCCCCAAACAATACTTTTCTAATAATACTAGAGTTAAATTTCAATAATGAAGATATTTTTAGAAATACTTGGTGGGCTTCAGGTCTTTTGGGCCCTTCAGCCCCTCCCTCTCCTCCTCTCTTCTCTCTCTCTCTTTTTTTTTTTTACACAGGGTTTGACAAGGTTAAAGATCCCTAGCTTTATTGACAAGCTATTTACAGGTTAAGGATTCCTGTAAATAGCTTGTCAATAAAGCTGGGGATCCTTAACCTTGTCAATGTGATAATAGTGGTGACATATTCAGTCCTTTCAGGGGAGAGTTTTGAGATGCTGGTGAAGGGCTCCTTATCCAAAATCCTGTAGCTTTCTCTCTCTTCCTATTTTCAAGCATCGCATCATTACCTTCAATTCCCCAGACGTAGGATGCTCTAGCGCATCTCACGAATATAAGAATAGACATCCAAATAATAACGAGAGCATTAAGTGGTATGCCTACTTTCAGGTGTTCCACTGGGGATGTCCTCAGCTGGCCGTTAGTAATGAAGATTCTGTCCCGACTCACACTGGAGAAGATGCCAGCGAACTCCTGGATGCGCAGCGTCGCAAGGAGTGAATGCAAAGACCACGGAACATTGCCGAGCTCGTAGACTCAATGCGTAGCATGAATGTAAAGACCCAGGAGACGTCCTGGGTCTTAGACGTCCAGCCACCTAATGTATGAAGACCATATCCAAGGGCCGTCATGCACTTCCTAGACACATGTACAACACTTGGTTAACTTTACTGTAAACACGTTTCGCCACACAGTGGCTTCATCAGTCCCATACAAACTCTTGATCTTCACCATTCTTCTTTGTGGTTAGGTAAGACACATATGCAACAGTTAGGTATCTTTATTTCGAAACGTTTCGCCTACACAGTAGGCTTCTTCAGTCGAGTACAGAAAAGTTGATAGAAGCAGAAGATACTTGAAGACGATGTAATCAGTCCATCACCCTTAAAGTTTTGAGGTGGTCAGTCCCTCAGTCTGGAGAAGAGCATTGTTCCATAGTATGAAACAATATGTTTCAGACTACGGAACAATGCTCTTCTCCAGACTGAGGGACTGACCACCTCAAAATACTTTAAGGGTAATGGACTGATTACATCGTCTTCAAGTCTCTCTGCTTCTATCAACTTTTCTGTACTCGACTGAAGAAGCCTACTGTGTAGGCGAAACGTTTCGAAATAAAGATACCTAACTGTTGCATATGTGTCTTACCTAACAACCTGTCGGTATTTTATACCATTTTGATGTTCATTCTTCTTCGTATTAGACTGATGACGCCACTGTGTGGCGAAACGTTACCACAGATGCCCAATTTATCAAGTGCCGGGGATGTGACTGAGTGCCAAAACCAGGGTACATCACCGAGCTCGGAGACACAGAACACAAGTGAACCCACATTTTGTACAGCTCAAAAAATGAGTTAGAAAAATATAGAAGCCTAGCCAATAGGCCTCCTCATTATTTCTATTATCTTTAGTTCTTTTTACAACTTCACTGTTCAGAGACAAAAATAACGCAATAGGTATAAGTAAACACGTTATAGTGATATGGAAAACAAATGAACATAATAAAAGCAAAAAATCACAGTACCGTGACTGGAACAATACACAAATAACCCGTAG